GCCCTGCTGTTTGAGAGCAGAGGCTGGGACATCAACACTGTCAGAAGACCTTCCCCCTTGGACCAGGATCAACATCTGTGGAACACCTTGCAGGCGCCTACTCCCCGAGGAGTTTGTAAAGACATTGTCCCTGACGTACTGGAGAGCTGCCCCTGTGTTGAGGACTCTTCCACCTCTGTGTCTAAGCCCTCTGACTGCACCCACAATGTCCTCTCTTGTTCTAAATGTATTCAGATTGAAATGGACTTCAGCATCTCTGCTGAACTGGACCACAGAGACTCGGTCCTTGTTATCTCCCACATTGAGTTTGTCCACCACTCTTTCAACAAAATCACGCATGGCAGGAAAGCCATTCCTTGTCATATCAGAGCCATCAAGGAGAAATACAATATCCCTTTTGGCTGTGTCAGCTGAAAATAGAAAGGAAAARAAGACGTCAAAACCTTTGCTACAATCAGCCCCATAGGTCAGGGATGAACCAGAGGGCAGGTTCCTTCTTTTAGATTTCAAAGCTAAACTTAAAAAATAAACCTTCTTACCTCCTCTTTTTTGACTACGTATTTCTTCAAGCTGTCTCATCAAACTTTGCTGAATGCGAGGAAGATTTATAAAGTCAGGGACTGAATAAGCAGAATTTAAATTTGAAGAGATTGCCTGCAGCTCAGCTGCATTTGACAGTCTTGATCCAATAGCAAATATTTTGATCCCTGTTGTTTTGAGTGCACTTGTCGGGCCTCGTGGAGAATCTCTCGACCTTCCACCAGCCAAAATTACCAGGATCTGCTCAATAGTTTTATCAGGTTTTGAAATAAATACATTATTTTTCACAAACTGTAGAGCTGATCCGATATATTGAGGTCCTCCACCTTTTGGTTTCAGCCTGGCTATTTGATGAAGAGCATCTTCTTTGGACTTGTAGTCATCGAGTCCAAAACTTAGTTTGGGATTGTTGCTAAATTGTACAACTGCAACTTTATCATTTCCTTCTTCCAAGTCAAAACTCTGGACCAGATTTGCAACAAATTCACGTATGGCACCGAACTTACTCTTTACATCGTCAGAACCATCAACAAGAAAAACAATTTCTCTCTTTATATCAGATTGTGAKCCTACAGAGAAGTGTATAATTATACAATATGTTAACATAACTACAATACATGCATTGTGTCCATATTTACCTACTTAAATCTTTAGACTCACCAACACCAGGGCGGATAAGGTRTTTTAGAGATACAATCTCTTTGTACATCTCTTTTCTTACAAGAGGAAAGTCCAAAGGCTGGTTAATGGAATGCCATACTCCTGGAACTAACTGCTCCATCTCATCCCTGTCTGCAGTTGTCATTCCAACTCCAAACAGAGCAACTCCAGCATTTTTCAGCCTTTCTACTGCACCTAGAGCATTGTCTTCTGATCTTTGCCCACTTGCAAGAATCAGTACCTGAGGGACCCCCTGCAGGGCCCGACTTCCAGATGAAGCAGTGAAGACTGTGTTTTTCACAAAATCAATTGCTCTGCCCATGTTCGCTGTAGTGCCTCCTATCAGTTTTACATTTTTCAACTGATTTAATATGTCTTCCTTCAACGAGTAAGTGTTCAGGACAAAATCAATGATGGGCTCTGTGCTGTACTGGATTAAAGCAACTTGTGCTTTATTCGGTCCAATTTCTGTTTGTTTCACAAACTCTTTGACAAATTTCAAAACTAGCCCTCCATTTTCTCTCATGGAATCAGAGCCATCAAGGAGGAAAACTATGTCAACAACCTCCCCAAATTCTGCTTCTACTGCCATAGAAGTGTCTGAAATAGATACAACACATTTTCACAAAATGTTTTCTGTAAGAAATACAATCTGACTATACAGCTTTCAAACACAAAGACTTCTTGCTATGGAAAACATTTAAAATAAATAGTTTTCCCACACTACAAAATAACCAAAATATRCTTTTAGGATCTGTTTTTATTAAATTTCTTACCAGTAGTTGTGATTTCTGTCATTTCATGTGTGTCACCTAATCTAGCTGTCACAGCGGAATAAATGCTTTGCAGATTATCAAAGCTTGGGACATAAAAATAATGTGCTGGAGTGTGAGAGATGGTTTGCATTTCCAAAGTATCTGAATTCTTTGTCCCAAAGCTGAAAGTCTTGATGTTGTTCTCTTTGAGTGACTGTGCAGATGCTCTGACATCATCCCCGGACCGCCCACCACTAAACACAAACAGATACTGAGGGACAGAATCTGCTCGTCTGCCTCCAACTGATGGAGCAAAGACGTTGTCTCGGACAAACTCCAGTGCTTTTCCAGTGTTCTGAGGTTGTCCCATCTTATGCCTCATGGTTCTAATAGAGCTGAGCACATCACTTTTGGATGAATAGGAGTTCAAGTAGAAATTAACGGTCGGCACACGGCTGTACTGAACAACAGCTATTTGGTCTCCAACACTGCTCACATTTAAAGTTTCAACAATTCGCTCAATAAAGGCTCGTATCTCTTCAAAGCCATTCCTCGAGTCATATGAGCCATCTATCAGAAAAACTACATCACTTCCCTTTGAATCTGCAATAAACACAAACAGGATCAATTATGAGCAGCAGAATGTCCTCTGATTGACAGGTCATCAACAGTAATTGTTAGTGAAAAGATTAAAACAGTGCCTCTTACCAGAACCTACATTTGGACCAGTGTGCACAACATGGTGGGAAGCCTCTCCCAACAGAGCCATTACATCCTGTTTAACAGCAGGAAGTTCTTCATAGTCAGAAACTGAGAGTGCATATTTGGGTTCACGAGATATCGTCTGAAGCTCGAGAGTATCAGCATCTGTTGTTCCAATGATGACTGAAATGACCCCCATTTCCCTCAGCATCTTCACCGGGGTTCTGATATCATCCCCAGATCGGCCACCACTCAGCAGTATTAGTATTTGTGGAACTCCTTGTCGGAGTCTGCTTCCAGATTCAGGAGCAAAGYCATGATCTCTCACAAACTGGAGAGCAGCTCCGATGTTTTTAGGATTGCCTCCTTTGTGAGTCAGACCCCCAACTGCATCGAGAACATCGCTCTCGGATGCGTAATGGTTCAAGTTTAAGTTCATTTCTGCTGTGTTGCTGTACTGAACCACAGCCACTCTGTCCCCATTCTTTTCAATGTTCAGGCCTCTGACTACACTCTGAACAAAGTCTAAAATATCAGGGAATCGTCGCTGAGAATCGTCAGAGCCATCAAGTAAAAATACAACGTCTCTTCCATTGGGATCTGTAAAAACAGGGAATTCAACAACTGTTGTATAGGGCAACACAAAAGAAAAAGTTTGGTTAACAGTTTTAGGTCACATTTTAAAWTTAGTTCCCTTTTCTCACATTCAGAATAGAAATTTATGTATACATAAATGCCAACTAAATGTCAGTATAGTGGGGGATGGGACAGGATGAATGAGATACACTATCATTTGCATTTGCACCAATTTAGAGTGACCTTTTTTTAAATATCTGTTTTGAGAAATCCATTAACAAAAAGGGAGAACACTTTACGAATAAAGACCCCAGCTAGGAATATTCCGGCAACCTTCACTTTGCAACCTGCTCTATCATTTAGTTCAAATATATCTAAAACATTTAACATAGATCTGAAAGGTAGATGTTACAAATAAATCAGCAGAAATTGTGAAAATACGTATACCACYCCCCTACCAACTCCTGTAACGCCAGTTTTGTGCATTTGGGGATGCGGCTTATTTTCCTATTTTCAAAAACTATTTGATTCAGAGATTTGTTTATTATTTTAAATATCTTTTCTGTTTTAAATGTAAGAAAGGTGAGCTCGATATAAAAAATGTTAAATGTTAAAACTTGTTAACCAAACAAGGGTCCAGCCAGTAAAATCTTACCAAATGATGTAGATATGGTCGCAATGTTCTCGATTCTTTCAGTGGCTGAGAGGATCTGTTGCTCAATGTCTGACAGGTTGCTGGAATCTGCTGTGAGAAAAGCACCACTGGCTTCCTGTGAAATCATCTGAATCTCAAGGATGTCCGCGTTCTTCATCCCCACCACAAAAACCCTCACACCCATTGCTTTCAAGCCTTCCACAGCGTTTCTGATATCATCACTGGACCGTCCTCCAATTACAAGCAGTAGTACCTGAGGAACGCCTTGTTGGCGCCTACTTCCTGAAGAAACTGTGAAAATGTTGTCTTTAACGTAGCTCAGTGCTGCGCCAGTGTTGAGAGGACTGCCTCCTTTTGCTCTCAGGTTTCTCACGTTTTCTGCAACGCTCTGCTTGGTTTGGTGCGTGTTCAGAAAAAAGTCAACCGAAGGTTCTTTACCGTACTGTACCACAGCAACTTGATCTTTGTTCTCATCCACATCCAGCTTTTCCACAATTCGTTCAACAAAGCCAAGCACAGCACTGAACTCAAGTTGCATTTCATCAGAAGAGTCCAATAAAAAGACAAAATCTCTTTGCACAAATTGTGTTTGTTCTGCAGAACCTTAACAGATGCAAAAAAAAAAATAGACGTGGCAAAGCTTAGTTAGAGACACAGCTGTTAGTTACCAGGTATTCTGGTCAATTTACCCTCTGTACTCAACATTTGTCACTTTAGAGTGATGTGATTATCATTTTGTGCACAGTGCTTGATGGTTTGTACCAATTTGATACAAAATTAATACACTTAATTATTGCTTGGTACCCACGCTTTTACTATACCCACATATCCCTGCAATACATGTGTCATAGTTGGATGTAGCTATGGTTTATTTTTATTTCATTTAACATATATTTAATCAGCTTAATCCCATTGAGATCTCATTTTCAATGGCAGCTTGAAGGCAGCCAAAACATGCAGGTTTGCTGACTGTGGGAGGAAACTGAAGTATCTGGAAAAACCCTACACTAACGCCATATATCTCCCAGGCCTTCATGGTGCCTGTAGTAATTATCCCACATAGCAAAATGTGTCTGGCCCATTTATAGCCCACACAATGCACTAACACTCTTAATGCTCAGCCCTGTGGTGGCCCAAATGTGGTTTAATCCATGCATGGGCCAGCACCATATAAACCAAACCAGAATTGGGCCAGTTGTGTCATGGCATCATATAAACAGTGCCATCATTCCCAGATCTGGCCCACACTTGTCTGCAATGTTGGATGTGTATAATTTTTTTAGCGCTTGTTGATTGATTATTAGATTTAAGGGGCAAAATAACAAAACCCGGCTAGTCCCTTATCCTCCGATCCAGCCATTTAACTGTAATTTGAGTGTATTAATTTGTATTATTTTGTTTGTCTTCAGCCCTCTCCTCTTGCAGCGAAATAAGAAACTTCTCAGACTTCTGCAAAGGTGCGTACCTGTTTCAGATGGCTTTTGTTTAAARGTCTGGATATGTGATAAATAAAGCAAAGTACAGTTCGTAAAAGGACAAAGTGACCCAGAGCTGTATCATAAACAAACATGTATGTAAGCAGCCTTACCAGGAACACTCTGTGGTTTCTCTTTCAGCTGCTGCCTTGGTACCCTTTTAACAGCTGATACGAGCTGTTGAAAGATGCTCCCAATATTATCAAATCTAAGTATTGAGAAGGCATAGGAGGGATTGTGTGCGATCGTCTGGAGCTCTATAATGTCAGCGTTTCTTGTGCCGACACAGAACGGAACAATCTTTTCGTTTTTCAGAGCAGCAGCCGCTTGCATGACATCGTCCTGAGATCTTCCCCCAGTCAACACAATCAGTATCTGAGGAATGCCTTCTTCACGCCGACTTCCTGATGAAGCAGCGAAAACGTTCCTCCTCACATAGTCAAGTGCTGCACCTGTGGTGCGGGATTTTCCCCCTTCATGGTTCAGCAGCCGAACGGCATTAAGAACATCTTGCTTGTTTGTGTAGGTGTTCAAATTAAAATGTGTCTGTTGATTTTGACTGTACTGAACCACAGAAACGTGATCTTTGTTTTCACCAACACTGAGTGTTTCTACCACTTGTTGGACAAAACCTTTCATTGCTGGGAAATCACTCAATGTGGCATCTGATCCATCCAACAGAAACACAACATCTCTCTGAGGAGATTCTAATTCAACTAGAGGAAAATGCAAGATAAAGAATTAGATGTATTATCATGTAATGAATACATTTTATATAGTAAAGATGGTTTTTGAAGGATTGCAACAAAAACACAATTTTCAGTAAAAAATTAATTGATCACTGAAAGAAGAGCTAAAACACAAACAAGTTGCAAAAGGATCTGAGCAAGAACATCAGGACTAAGACCATAAAGAGCATGAAAGTGATGTTTTGAGAAGATAATGCAGTTTCATCACATTTCAAATTTTGCAAGAAGCCATTTTATTTCTCAGCTCTGAATCTGTGACACTTCTTACCCTCAGAACATGAAGGCTGAGTTTTTAATTCTGCTAACCCAGGCAGAGTGGACAAAAGTTCAACAAAGACAGTTCACCAGATATCTGGTTTAAGGCTGTTTTTATGCTATTGATACAGAAAACCTTCACTGCATGAAAGGACCAATAAACTGGGACATTTAGAGTAAACTCTGGGATGAGACAGTGGACTCATAACAGTGACCCAAAACGTCCCACCAAGGCAACAAGCGAGGCTAAAGAAGAAGTAGATTAAGGCTCTGGAGTGGCTGAGCTAGTCTCCAGAACCTCAGTCCTGTAGATGATTTATGAAAGACCCAAAGCTTAAGACTGCTAAACCACAACCAAGAAATCCAGAGGATTTAACAAGTTTTAGTAAAGAGTGGTCCAAAACCATTCCTGAGATGTGTGCAAACATGGCAACAAACTACAAGAAACATTTTACCACAAAAGGCTTTTTCATCAAATATGTCCACAAATGTCATTTTCTACAAAAATAGATTGTTCCATTCTTTGTAAGCAGGTAAACCTGTTCCCTATGTTAAAAGAAAGATGAAAACAGTAAACAAATAGTTTTAGTAGCATGTGTTGTGAATGTGAGGTTCTTACCTATGAGATCAGAGATTCCGTTCATGGTTTCCTGATTGTCTTTGCGTAAGTTCAGTTTAGCCAAAAGCTGCAGCTGAACTGAGGGCAACTGGGAAAAGTCAGCAACCTTATAAGTGAAATCAGGTTCGATTGTAATCATTTCCAGCTCTGCATGATTTGCATCTCTCACTCCCACACCAAAAGAAACAATTTCATGTTCTTTAAGAGCCAATGCCGGCCCTGTCACGATGTCTGTTGATGGTTTGCTACTGAGAAGAATTAAAATCTGAGGCACTCCCTCTAGTCTTCGACTGCCGGTAGAGGAAGTGAAGACTGTGTGCCTCACAAACTGAAGGGCTGCACCAATATTAAGCCTTTTCCCACCTTTGTGTGTTAAATTTCCAACAGCATTCAAGATGTCGTTCTTTGTTTTATGGGAATTTAGATAAAAGTTAACCTTTGTGTTATCAGCAAACTGAACCACGGACACTCTGTCAAGGCTCTCATCCACAAAAAGGCTCTCCACTGTGCTTTTAACAAAGTGTTTTATGTCTGCGAATCCATTTTTTGTATTATCAGAGCCATCCAGCAGGAACACAATATCTCTTTTTACAGCAAAATTTTGCACTACGACACAGATAAGGTTCTGTTATTATAATCATGCATCAAAATGTTGGAGATAAAACACAAATACAGCAAGTTTAGCCAAAGATAAATAAAAGTTTTCTGTCCTACCTTCGTGTAGAAGGACAGTGAGCTCTTCCTTTGGTAGGCTCACATAGTTATTGATCTTTTGTGGTATGGTTTCGAGTTCACTGAATTCATTCACTTTGAATGCAAAAGAGGGGTTGTGTGCAATTTCTTCCATCTGCCTCCGATCTGCGTTCATGACTCCAACACCAAACGGTACAACTCCTTCTGTCTTCAGCTCACCGGCTGGTTCTTTGACATTATCTGCAGATCTGTCTGCGGCCAAAACAATCAGATACTGGGGGATGTTTAGAGCAGATCTGCCTCCGGAGGCTTCAGACATGGCCACGTCCTTCATGTATCTCAGAGCGACTCCTGTGTTCAAACTGCGTCCCCCGGCCAGTGGCATGCCTTGCACAGCTCTGATCACCTCGTCTTTGGTTGAGTATGCATTAAGGTTGAAAATCGGGAATGGCCTCTCGCTGTGCTGGACCACTGAGATGCGCACCCTGTCTGACCCGATGTCGAGGGGTTGGATTATTTTGATGATGAAATCCCGTATGTAGGGGAAGTCGTCTCGGACGCTGTCGGTGCCGTCAATCAGGAACGCAACGTCTCTTTCAGCTCCGGTACCGACTGTAGAAAAATAAGACAAGTGAAATTAGCCTGTTTATGTTTCATCTTCCTCTCTCCAAGCACCTTTCTTCACCACATCCTTTCTTGTTCCTTCCTGGCAGCGCCATATTGTCCAACATGTCCTGTTTCGCTTGTCTGCACGTCCTAACCATCTTAGATTCTCACCTCTAATGTTGTCTCAAACCTGAGCTGTCATTATTTATGGTCTTAAACCTGTATATTTTAGCTGTTCTTAATGGAAAACTGAACATCAGAGTTATGTTATCATTTTGACTCYCGCTATTTTTTTACTGTTATTTAACCTTATTGAGATCACAGACATCTTTTGCAATGGAGGCCTGGGCCTGAAAGCAACCTATTGTACATGTTTTTGGTCTGTGGGGGAAACCGGAGTACCTGGAGAAAACCCATGCAAGCACAAGGAGAACATGCAAACTCCACACAGAACGATTCCAGGTCCGAACCCAGGACCTTCCAGTGCTGACCACTAAGACACTGTGCTGGTTAAGGTTCAGTTTTATACCCAAAAACTATGGTAAAATACAATAATTTGTTGAATTATTAAAAGCTTTGGTTAAAAAGCAGGTGTCCACTTGAATCTGATTTTGGTCAACTTCTGACCTAAAATGTTGGACTGTAAAAAATGACGCAACTCAACTCTGACCCAACCACAGGGTCAAACGTTTTGATCCAAACCTTTAACCCAACAGCTTTGAACCAGAGGTTGTGTTTTGTAAATCCTTTTTCCTCTTGCAGCTCTCTCTGCAACTCATCCACCTTCAGTTCCTTTACTCCTGCTCCAGTCCTCATGTTCACACTCATGAATTTTGTCTTGTTTTTTTAATTCCTTCTATCTTCAGAAGTAATGAAGAGGCTCTCTTCCACCTGTTTCCTACTCTTCCTAGAGATATCACCTGCAAACATCTTGGTTCATGGTGGGTACCTGCCTGATCTCAAATACCAATCTGTCCACTGCAACCACAAAGGTGCTTAGTGCTGATACTTGAGGTAAATATATTTAGTTACTTATAGTGAGTTGTCTAATGCATAGAAGAAAAAAATGCAACTCACCTGTTTCCTCAGCTGTTGTCACATCTGTGTCACCAACCACGGTTATCAGACTTGGCAGAATTTCTTCATCCAGAGTCCGTAATTCTGAGAATCTCGATCGATGATAAGCCATTTCTGGAACGAAGGCAATTGTGCGCAGTTCTTCGGKGTCTGCTTGTCCTGAACTAACAGTGAATGTCAAAATGTCTTTCAGCGCCAATCTATCTGCRACAGTTTTGGCATCATCTTGGGATGGGCCTCCTGTGATCAAGACCAACACTTGCTGGGCGACGGTCCGACCACGCGACCCAGCTGCTGACTGGAACATGTTTTCCAGAGCGTAAGTCATGGCGGCTCCTATATTTACCACCGAGCCTCCGATCAGCCTGAGCTGAGAGATTTTGTTAACGACATCTTCCCTGTTTCTGTGGCTGTTCAGGTAAAACTCCACTTTGGGTCGTTCTGCGAACTGAATCAGACCAATTTGGACCCGGTCAGGTCTCACTTCCAAACGGTTGACAACGTTGATCATGAAGTCTCTCACGAAGGGAAGGTTAGTGCTTCCGATGTAGTTTGAYCCATCCACAAGAAACACAATGTCTCTGACCACTCTTTGGGTCTGCACCGTGGTTATCTCCACCACTAAAGAAACAAACAACAAAAAATTACTTCCTGTGGAATTTATTCACCTTTTMGTTAAAAGTGAAAATTTAAATGATTTCATCTACCCAGTTTTCAAAAATTTCTAAAACAATAATTTTTAAAGATAATTTGAGCAATCAAATACATAATGTATTCAACTGCYTGTGTGTTTTAAGAAAAAGTCAGAAAAGCTGGCCCATATGAAGTTATTTTTAATGAAATACTTTTGACCTAAAAAGGGTTTGTTTTTTTCCATTTTGAGAGATTTCATTTAGTTTTCTTGTACATCACAGTGTGCTAATCATGAAATGACAAAATAGCTTTACAGTCTAACAAGGTCGAGTCAGGTCCTCTTGACAAGTTCTTCTTTGTTGACACATTTCATCTTTTATCCCAAAGAACTCTTCAGTCTGAGGAGCTGTAGGTAAACTCGGTCTTATAAGCAATATCTTCGCAGAGTGGATCAACCAGTTTGCTGGTGACACTCAAAACTGGTTGTTTATGTTAAAAAGGAGGCGTAACAACTGAAGACATCTTTTGCATACAAGTCGTAACATTTCAACTAAGAACTCGGCCAGGGGACCTGACACAACCTTGGCAGAATTTTTTCTACCTGGATTATTGATTTATCAGTTGAGTTTTATAGGGTTTATAATGCAATCACATGAAAATAAAAAAAGATAAGCTACAGTGTATATTTATAATAATCATGATTCATAAAAGATAAATTGTGGTGTTCTGCAAGGGTCTATTCTTAGACACTTGTGGTTTATAACTTAAACCAAATACTAGTTAGCTTTTTTTCCTGACATATTTCTTGTTTTGTTTTGATTCAGAAGACAAATGACCTWTTAATTATTCCCTGCTGTCATGAAAGGTGGGAAATCATGTAACCTCTGAGTGTTTCTTTATCTGTTAGCGACAAAATATCAACCACTCAATGGATTTTAACGAAACTCACTGAAAGCAATCTGATTAACTTTTGGTGATTCAAGATGGCAGTAAAATCTAAGTGATCTTTGTAAAAACAAAAATTACCTGGCTCAGTCGGCTCCTCGACAATAAACGTCCCAGCTAGAGTCGAGAGTGCATCTGTGATTTCCCTCGATTTTCGCATCACTTGTCGGAACTCCTTTGCATGGAACACAGCTTGATCAGAAATGGCAATTTTGTTCAGCTCTTCGAAGTTAGCAGTTTTAAAGCCTGCCGCCAGAGTCAGCACACCTGTTCGCAMCAGGGCCTGAGCAGGTACGTCCACACTGTCACTGGACTTTTTACTTGTCCACAGCATCACGATCTGCGGTATGCCTGACCTGATGCGGCTGCCACTCTCAGGCTTTAACATGTTTTCACGCACAAAGTTCAAGGCTGCTCCAATGTTGACGGTCTGTCCTGGTCTTGGTCTGATACTGTCCAGTGCGCTGACTATGGCCTCCCTGGTATCATAGCTGTTGAGGTCCATCACCACTCTCTGGGCGGTGCTAAACTGAGCAACACCCACTTGGATGGCATTTGGACCAACTGGCCTGGAGTTGACAAACTGTTTGATGTAGTCACGCAACTGGCCAAGAATTGCCGGGCCCATGGTACTGTCGATCAGGAAAATGATGTCTCGTGGTGCTACTGCCACCACTGGAAAAAGGAGAAAAAAATATAGATTAACATACATGTTTAACTAACCATACTTTTATAAGTTCAAAGCCCCCAAATTGATTTTTTTTTGTATTTGCACTAAATATTACTAATATTTTCATCCGTAATTATTAAATATTTCTAGGGTTAAATGTTGGTGCTGTAAATTTCATGCCTTTGCCTAATTGTACCCATTGGTTGTCCTTTTTGTTGTGTATTAAAACATGCTGCTTGTATGAAATAGAGGATTTCAGAGTTATGGTACTCTAGTACAATCAACCATCAATGTTTGGATGATTGCCAAGGTGAGTACAAAGAGACTTGTGGCAGATGGCCTGGGTACAAAATGACCAAAGCTACAAAAGTACAATTTGGTAAAAGTATGAACTTATATTTGAAAATAAACTAATTTTGAATGAGTTACCTAAAAAGATGTGAAAGGTAATACATAATGGCTAGAACATACCAGATAAGTACAGCTTATACTCAGTATATACTTGGTGCCAAGTACACACTATTTGGTATATACTTAGTACATTATAAGTAAGTACCAGGAAAAAACCAGATACATACTCAGTAAGTACCAGGTATATAGCCTGTCAGTACAGAGTCATAATACAACCATGTAAATACCTGGTATAAACCCAGTAAATACCAGGTACATGCCTGTTTTGTAAGTATTTATTAAGTACCAGCTACATACCTAAGTACAGGATAACAAGTCGCCTCATACTATGATCTGATCCCTGTAGATACCAGGTAAGTACTTACCTGTATGTACCAGGTAAGTACCAGGCAAATAGCTTGTAAGTTCAAGGAAACGAGTTATGTTATACTACAAACTGTTACCAGAAGGTACCTGGTAAACTCAGTAAAAACAAGGTACAGCGGGTAAAATAAGTATTGAACACATCACCATTTTTCTCAGTAAATATGTTATTAGAGGTGCTAATGACATGAAATTTTCACCAGATGTTGGTAACAACCCAAGTGATCCATACATACAAAGAAATCAAATCATAAATGTCCAGAAATGAAGTTATTTGTAATAATGTGGAATGGCACAGGGAAAAAGTATTGAACACATGAAGAAAGGGAGGTGTAAAAAGGCATGGAAAGCCAAGACACCAGCTGAACTCTCTCAGTAATTAGAAAGCAAGCCTGCCCCTTGTCAGTGCAAGTTAATATCAGCTGGTTCAGTCCCAAATGATGGCCAGGTATAACACAAGAACCATCTGATGATGGGTCAAAGTAAAGAGCTCTCTCAAGACCTTCACAACCTTATTGTTGCAAAGCATAATGATGGCATCGGTTACAGAAGAATGTCTAAACTTCTGAAGGTTCCAGTGAYCACTGTTGGGGCCATAATTCAGGAGTGGAAAGAACATTATTTCACCATAAACCGACCACGACCAGGTGCTCCTCACAAGATTTCTGACAGAGGAGTGAAAAGAATTATCAGAAGAGTTGTCCAAGAGCCAAGGACCACTTGTGGAGAGCTTCAGAAAGACCTGGAATTAGCAGGTACGATTGTTTCAAAGAAAACAATAAGTAATGCACTGAACCACCATGGCCTGTATGCACGCTCACCACGCAAGACTCCACTGCTGAAGAAACAGCATGTTGAAGCTCCTTTAAAGTTTGCTGCACAACATTTAGACAAGCCTGTGTAATACTGGGAGAATATAGTCTGGTCAGATGAGACCAACATTGAACTGTTTGGATGCCAGAATACACATCATGTTTGGAGGTCAAATGGCACTMCACATCAGCCCAAAACACCATACCAACAGTGAAGTTTGGAGGTGGGAACATCATGGTGTGGGGCTGTTTTTCAGCATATGGTACTGGCAAACTTCAAATAATTGAAGGAAGGATGAGTGGAAAAATGTACAGAGACATTCTTGATAAAAATCTGCTTCCACCTACCAGGATGATGAAGATGAAACGTGGCTGGACATTTCAGCAAGACAATGAGCCCAAACACAAAGCCAAGGAAACTCTCAGTTGGTTTCAGAGAAAGAAACTAAAGCTGCTGGAATGGCCCAGCCAATCACCTGACCTGAATCCAACAGAAAATCTATGGAAAGAACTAAAGATCAGAGTTCATAGAAGAGGTCCACGAAACCTTCAAGATTTGAAGACTGTTTGTGTGGAAGAATGGGCCAAAATCACACCTGAGCAATGCATGCCACTAGTTTCTCCATACAGGAGGCGTCTTGAAGCTGTCATTGACAACAAAGGCTTTTGTACAAAGTATTAGATACATTTCAGTAAGTGTGTTCAATACTTTTTCCCTGTGCCATTCCACGTTATAACAAATAACTTAATTTCTGGACATTTATGGTTTGATTTCTTTGTATGTATGGATCACTTGGGTTGTTACCGACATCTGGTGAAAATTTCACGTCATTAGCACCTCTAGTAATATATTTACTGAGAAAAATGGTGACGTGTTCAATGCTTATTTTACCTGCTGTATGTACTGTATCTGCACCAACATAATGTACAACTTTGCACATTTTCATATTGTTAACCTTTAAGGTTTTCAGTTTTGAATTTAACTTCCCCCTCATCAAAACCCCACCAACACTTGAAAAAAGATACATACCTTCAGGGTACTCATTCTGAATTATAATGGTTCCCTGGGCCAAGCCGTTAATGTAGCCAACAAGAGCACCAGCAGTGGATGAAAGTGTGCTGAAACCAGAGGCTTTCTGGACAAAATCTTTATTTACGGCAACCTCTTCCAGGTCTGCAGTGGCGTCATCACCAATTGACACTCCCAATGTGGTAACACCAGCCCTCTTCAGGGCCCGGTCACCAACACCAGTATCGTCACTGGAGGGTCCAGCACTGATAATCACCAAAACCTGAGGTGRGCCCTCCTTTTCCCTGCTCCCAGCCGCTTCGCTCAAAAGGCTCTCGGCCACTTCTTCCATGGCAGCCCCCAGGTTCGACTCATCACCCCCTGAGTAGGTCAGGCTTTTCACCGCTCCCAGGACTTGTGATTTGTCGTAAAATCTATTTAGATTGAATTTTATGTCTGGGTAGCTGTTGTACTGGACTAGGGCCACTCTAATTTCATCCCTGCCCACTGAAAGGGACTCAATGATTCTCAAAACCAAATCACGCACATAGGGGAAGTTGGCTGCTCCAACGTTCTCTGATCCATCAATTAAGAATATTAGGTCAGCTGAATCTTGTGCTTTAGGAAGAGAGAGAGAGAGAGAGAGAGAAACAGAACAAAATGGAAAAAGTGAAAGCAAATATTCTGGTGAGACAGTGACAAAGATTTCAATCAAAGAACTTGAGTTAGCAAATCACGTGAAGAACATTCAGTGTGAACAAATCAACAATAACATTGCAAACAAAACACATCATACTGCATGTAGGCTGAACCAAGGAGGTCTCTTGTAAGGCTGACGTTTATAAAATTAAAAATGGATTTTAGAAACATGATAACTGGTCCTGTATGATAAAACAAACAAACATGTTTGCATGTATGTTGGAAATGTTGAGAAAAGAGGGAGTTATCATTGAAAACTGGATCTTGATTTTGTTTTTACTTATTGTGGTTTTGAAGGTTAGATTTGAATAATTTTTAGAACCTGGTAAAGACCAGATTTATTTTTTGTTTTTTCCTCATCTTCCCTTGTGTGGTTTTCAGTTTTGTTTTTTTTTTTTGTTCAAGGTAGCACAACTGTCTCTGTTGCTGCATGACCTGTGCACCTGTTCCCCCATGTTTGTCAATGTGTGTCTTCTTGAATGGGTGTTAACTGTTTGTACAGCACCTTGTGAATTTATTTCTGTGAAAGGCGCTATATAAATAAAATTTTAATTACTTTACTTACTTATTTATTTAGGGGGAGACTTTCTTCTTCCCTATACTGTAATTTGAGTTACTAAAAATTTATACAAAACTTTTTCCAATTGACACAGTTCAGCTAACTTTTCGGATTGGTGTTTTTGCTAATTTGAAAATCTTAGAAGACCATTTTGCTTCTGTTAAATTGAGTTTTGCTAACTTTAAGCCTAGTAACAAAAATAGTTATTTGCTTAAAGCCTGTGTCATGCGCCTTGTGTGTGTGTTTAGCATTTTTAGCATTTTCCTGATTCAAATGTTCAACTTTATGAGCTTTCAGTCAAGATTTTGATGTTTCTGTGGATACCACACGTCACTGTTAAAACAACAGACCTTGAGTTAGCAGTTAGCATTTGCTTCCACCACTCTTCTCATCTGTTTTAATGGGTTAGCAGTCGCTAAGCTAATTGTTTTAGTTAGCGGATTGGTGTCTAGCGAAGTTAGTTGCGTCCACCACTGTTTTTATGGTATTTTTGTAAATGTTTGCAATTTTGTAAACACAAAACAAAAATAATTTAAGAAATGGTTGTGGTTCTGCTCAGTTGAGTTCAGCCTTTTCATGCAGACTCTTGTTATAGACCTCAGGTGAAGTGACCAGTCATGACTCTGTGGGTCATCTGTGAAACCTGCTTCTTTATAGTACCCAGAAACCAAACAGGATTGAATCTGTAATGCATTTTATTCCAAATACATATGGAATCACCTGCATCTTTGATTACCATGTTGCCAGATTAGATTTGATCTTTTCCAATTCATTCTGGCCATCAGAGTTGTTAATGTTCTCGGGGTACTTCTGCAAGTAACGAATGACTCCGGGCAGATTCATCACTGTTTTAAATACAGAATACTGAACATGTGTTTCAGACATTGTGACTGATAAAAGAGAAACATACATGTGCAGGAAGCCAAGGGTGAATGGTTAGATTCTGTTAAAAAGCTCATTGATCGAGTAAATTCAGGTCCTCGTCCAAAGATTTGCAAGAGAACATTTTTAAAAATCCGACTCGCAGATTAGCAAAGGTTGTAAACAGATTTTCAGAACAAAAAAGAACCTCGAGCTTGAGGACGCCTAGTGCTCAAACGTTTGAGATCCACTTAGTTTGGGGACAAAAAGGCCTCAACAAAACAAAGAGGACATGAACACATTTGAGTCCTTAAAGAGTTTTAGATTCTGTTTTCTGACTCCCTAACTTTTAATGTTTGCCATAAGAAAACTCAGTCTTCCTGCTTTCAGGGCACCTGCCGCTGAATCATCAGTACCTCTAACTCAGAGTAACACAGATTAAAAACAAAACTATGACACAATTAACTGTTCTTTTGATTTTATAAGCATTAGAGGTGGTGGGCATGGTTCTGCTAATCAGCTAAAAATAACAAGCTAGCATCAACAGGTTATTGTCAGATCCACCAGTCTTCAGTGTGACTGACTGACGGTCGTCTTGGTACTTAGTGATTAGCTATTAATGTTAGCGCRCACTAATTTTTACCTTAGTATTAGCTTTTGCTAAATTTTTTATTTTAGCCCTAGCAAAGCTATATTTTTATTATCTGATTAGCTTTTTCACAAACTTTGAAAAATGTTAACAGACCACTTAGCTTCCTCTAAATTAGATTTTGCCAACTTTAACTCTGCTAACAGCTAACAAGCTAACATCAACAGGTTTGTGTCAGTCCTAAGAGTCTTCAGCTCGAAGGAGACAAAGGCTGTGTCCAAAACAGGGGGACTGGTCCTCTGAAGGCCGAATTTGTCGGCTGCTTTCGATACAGCGCCGCGACGGAGGCTGTCCAAAGCTGAAGACTCCCCCGATGCAGCCGACAAATGTGTCCTTCCTTTGTCCTGAATTGAAGGACTGGTCCGATGGATCCTTCCCGGCCCACCATATCCCAAAATTGTTGTATGTTGTTAGTACTTTTATCATTTGTATAAATATGTTTTTAAATAATATTTTTGTCAGAAAAAAAAAACGTGAAATAAACATGCACCTATGGCGGGTCTATTAGTTCTTTAAATATTACATTTAAGTTAATTTTGTTTTTTCGTGATATTAATAATGCTAATATATTGATATTTTTCTACAGAATGTACTCCAGGGTAAGGACGGGAGGCTAGATCCTCCAAATTCACAACCACGTTTTCCCCGTCTTTGTGGTCTACCAAGGACCTGGCCCACCTCGATCGGGTAGGTCTCCCGTTTTGGACACAGCCAAAGATGTGTGATGCAGACTGAGTGACAGTCGTCTTAGCGGTTAGCGGTTAGCTGTCAGTCTTACATGTTTAGTGTTAGCAAAGCTATATTTTTAGTTAGCAGACTATGAGTTAGCAAAGCTAATTTTTTGTTAGCTGTGCTCACCACTGAGCATTAGAATTTATTAAATGTAACAAGAAAAAAATTGTGATGTTAATTTTTCAGGTGAAAAGTGAGAAGTTATAGTGTTAAATTAAAACTTGTTGGTGTTAATATTAAAGTCTGTGGTCTGGTATGGAGCATATTTTTCCTGCACATGTAGACAGGTTAGTATTAGAGTTACCTGTCCCTCCTCCTGCCACCGGGGCCTCATTGGCCACAGAGTCACCCCCTGACCAGATCGCCGCGCCACAAATGTTCACAACTAAGTCTTGGATTATGTCCCGCAATTTCAGGAAAGAGTCTACATTGAACACGTGAGCCTCGTGAGGCCGGCTGGCCATCTCTCTGAGCTCTGAGTCCACGGCGTCCTGGACTCCCACTGCAAACATCTCCACGCCTGCCGTCTGCAGCACCTGAGCRGGCTCGGACACGTCGTCCTGTGAGCGCCCATCTGTCAGCACCACCACCACCTGGGCCACCCCGTCAGTTGCACGGCTGCCCGAAGAGGCCGTCAGGTGGGAACGAATCAGGAAGTCCAGGCCCAGGCCAGTCCGGGTGCCCCCGCCACGGTAAGACATGGCCTTGACGTGTCCCAAGATGTCGCGTGTTGTCAGGTAGCTGTTGAGGAGGAACTCAGTTCTGGGCCTGTTATTGTACTGCACCAGAGCAAATTTAAACTTTCCTCCTCCGACGTGGTGCAGGGACTGGATCAGGGTGTAGAGAAACTCTCTGACATGCTCAAAGTTCTCCTGTCCCATACTCCAGGACGAATCCACTAGAAAGTATAAATCAGCTCCCAAACCATGGGCACAGTCTTCAGAGGAGAGAAGTGAAGACCAGAGAAAAAATGTTTGGTGCATCAAGTCACAAAGTTTAAATTTCTGATGGTTCGGCTGTGGTCAGACACTTCCAGACACCCGTCATGAGCAACAATAATTTTATTAAATAGTTTTTGATTTATATGAACCATTCTGTTTCAGCTTTAATGATTTTATGAATATGTTCTGTTTTTTATTAACCCACAACAAGTTATACATCCAACTGTTTAACAATGTCCCTGTCCAACAATGTGCCTGTCCAAAAATGTCCCTGTCCAACAATGTTCCTGTCCAACAATGTCCCTGTCCAACAGATTCTCTGTCTACAATGTCCCTGTCCAACAGAACCTCTGTCAACAATGTCCCTGTCCAACAGAACCTCTGTCTACAATGTCCCTGTCCAACAATGTCCCTGTCCAACAGATTCACTGTCCAACAATGTCCCTGTCCAACAGATTCACTGTCCAACAATGTCCCTGTCCAACAGATTCTCTGTCTACAATGTCCCTGTCCAACAGATTCTCTGTCTACAATGACCCTGTCCAACAGATTTTTGTCAAACAATGTCACTGTCCAACAGATTCACTGTCAAATAATGTCCTTGTCCAACAGATTCACTGTCAACAATGTCCCTGTCCAACAGAACCTCTGCCCAGTAATGCCCCTGTCCAACAATGTCCCTGTCCAAAGGATTGTCTGTCTAACAATGTCCCTGTCCAACAGATTCACTGTCAAACAATGACCCTGTCCTACAGATTCTCTGTCAAACAAGTCCCTGTCCAACCGAATCTCGGTCTAACAATGGCCCTGTCCAACAGAATCTCGGTCTAACAATGGCCCTGTCCAACAGAATCTCGGTCTAACAATGTCCCTGTCCAACAGATTCATTGGTTAACAATGTCCCTGTCCAACAGATTTTCTAACAATGTCCCTGTCCAACAGATCCTCTGTCTACAATGTCCCTGTCCAACGATGTCCCTGTCCAACAGATTCTCTGGTTAACAATGTCCCAGTCCAACAGAATCTCTGCAAAATAATGCCCCTGTCCAACAAGGTCCCTGTCCAACAGATGCTCTGTCTAACAATGTCCCTGTCCAACAGATTTTCTAACAATGTCCTTGTCCAACAGATCCTCTGTCTACAATGTCCCTGTCCAACAATGTCCCTGTCCAACAGATTCTCTGGTTAACAATGTCCCTGTCCAACAGATTTTCTAACAATGTCCCTGTCCAACAGAATCTCTGCAAAATAATGCCCCTGTCCAACAAGGTCCCTGTCCAACAGATTCTCTGTCCAACAAGGTCCCTGTCCAACAGATTATCTGTCTAACAACGTCCCTGTCCAACAGATTCACTGTCAATGTCCCTGTCCAACAGAATCTCTGCAAAATAATGCCCCTGTCCAACAAGGTCCCTGTCCAACAGATTCTCTGTCCAACAAGGTCCCTGTCCAACAGATTCTCTGTCTAACAACGTCCCTGTCCAACAGATTCACTGTCAATGTCCCTGTCCAACAGATTCTCTGTCTAACAATGTCCCTGTCCAACAGATTCTCTGTCTAACAACGTCCCTGTCCAACAGATTCACTGTCAATGTCCCTGTCCAACAGAATCTCTGCAAATCAATGCCCCTGTCCAACAAGGTCCCTGTCCAACAGATTCTCTGTCTAACAATGCCAACAGATTCTCTGTCTAATAATGTCCTTTGTGAATATATCGGAGCCTGTGTGAATCAGAGAAAATCAGCAAATGTATTTTTTAAATCATTGAAGTTTGTTTTCGAAGCAGGAAGTAGAATGGTTCAAACCAACCAATCACAGAGCTTCAGGTTCCTGACGGATGATGGAAACATCAGACTTTAATCTGATGGTTCTGACCTGTACTCAGAACCATTTGACTTATCCTGACATTTAATCCAGATTACGATGTTTACACCATGAGGGGACAGAACGCAGCTCACACATTTATGTTTGATTAAAGTAAATCTACAAAGTATTCAACCTAATTTCCAAGAAAGGTCGGGAAACCGTTTTAAACAGATCATCTGAAAATGATGTCATCGTTTTCTTGTGATGTTTCATTGAGCACAAATGGACAGTTTTCAGCTTTTCTTTGTTTTATTTGAAACAAACTCCAGGTCTGAAGTTTCTGGATCTTTGTTCTGAAGAGGTTTAACCTGATTTTATGATTATGAGCTGATTTCCACCACAAAATTCTCATTATTTCTTATTTTTTACCTTCTTTAAACGGCGCCCCAACATTTCTGAGTGGATTTAAACAAAACTGTGAGAGAAAAAAAATGAGGAGATGCTTCTACTTACTTTCCTGAGCGTCCAGTGTGGGGACGAGTCCTGCCAACAGGACCCCCAGGAGGACGCAGAGCGGCAAGAACCGATGCTTCCTCATCCTCATCCTCAGGCAGAGCTCAGAGGATGACCTGCAGGACCAGAAACACAAGAAAAGACAATTTATCTAACATCACAGGACAGAACCTGATTCTACACTAATGTAACGCCATCATAATCATCATCATCATCATCATCATCATTATCTTCTTCTTCTTCTTCTTCTTCTTCTTCTTCTTCTTCTTCTTCTTCTTCTTCTTCTTCTTCTTCTTCTTCTTCTTCTTCTT